GCATTCCAAAAGTATCAGTGTTGCAACACTGGTTGAAAATCAATGTGGTAGTGTAAAACATAAGAGAAAAAATCAGGAACATGAGAGTGCACTCTTAAATGAACTACTTCCTTATCTGATACTCTGGTAAGTGGATTCAACTGTATAATGTTGATTCCACTTTATATTCATTGACTTATTGACCCAACGTTTTATGTTCTATTTGAAAATGAAAAACATTCTTAATTTTTTATAAGTTAAAAGGTTGTTTTAAAAAAGGTAAAAGTTATAAACTTCTCTCAAAAAACCACCACAAGAAAATAGCCTTCTGTCTTTACCAATTTTCAAAGAGATTTAATTAAAAACTATAGACTACAACTTTCTTCTAGAAAGGAACAAGCTTTATTTAATGTTACCTCCAAATGCATTTTGACCTGGCTATAACAGGGCCTCTTCAATGGATAAAGCATCACAAGCGTTATTTGTATTACAAACATTGACTCTGATAACAATTATCTTGTTTGAAGATGTATTTATACCTGTAACTAGATTATTCTGCATAACAATTTCATAGTGTTCTTTTTATGATATTCTTTTCCTTGTACACAATTTTTGTTATTTATATAGATATTGCAATTGTTTTCCCAACAATGATGAAACCATGATGAAATATTATTTTTTAATCTTATTGCCGCCATATGTTCTGATAATTGCTTTCCCAACATAATATTCGACCTTAATTTTTTGTTTGTTAAATCCAAGTTTATTAAATTGAGAGCCTGTTGTTTATATTATACAAGGTGTATGGTAGAGTCCTAAGTCATCAACATAATCTAGAGCTATGGAAGTGAAATATTGGTATGATAGTGATCATGCACTATCAGATGAGACCAGTGGCAATTCCCTAGCAATAAAATTTGGAAGTTAGAATTTCTGTCTCAAAAACTACAAGAGATACAGAAATAAAGTAAATGAGAAAGTTGTAGAACATCATTAAATTAATTGGAAATGATATTTTACAGAAACAGATAATGCAAATAGAAGGCTGAAAACCCTATGCATAATGCTATCATTTGCATATGAGCAGAACACTTTCTCATATACAAATGCTGGTTATGATGTGATACTGTTCCTATGGATAAAAACTCAGGATTATTAATGTAAAAATGGTCATTGATTGTCAGGTAGTGCGTTGAAGATATTGTATCAATGAAAAATCATGGAAGCTATATGATTGAATAGTATTGCAAGATGATACTGCTAATTGATGAATGCAGATGAAAGCTGCAATGTGGTATGCCTTAGTTTCCTACTACCCTACATCTAACTAATTGTTTGTTGAGCTGTTCGAGAGTGGCAGTATTGAAGCTTCTCTTGAATAGCTAACCCAGCACAGGTATGCATGTGCTGTCCAGCTTTCTACTTGACTTTCTGTTTTTGTAAAATATCATTTCTTATGAATTTGATGATGCTCTACAGCATCCTTTCTCAAAGTAGGCACTGGAGGCTTTCAGGGGGGGCAGTAGAATGCTCAGTTATTTAAATATGAGTTTTATTTCTTCTCATTGAAACTTCTTTGATCTCAGAAATAGGATATAGGTCACACACTATCTGTCCTATCCATATAATAATGCATGTTTAAACATTATATTTGCAATAACTGTTTTTAAGATATGCAACAGATGGTAATGTAAAAAGGTAAGTTAAAAAATATGGGGCACTAGATTTTTTTTAATCTCAAAGTGTGCGTTGGTCAAAATAAGTTTGAGAACCTGTGCTCTACAATAATAGGAATAGTAACTTGCAAATTTTTCCTCTAGGGATGTTGCTTTTCAGTCTTATCTGATAATGTACAGTCACTTTACCACTTCAATTGATGAAATTCCAGTTGCCAGGATTACTAAAAATTTGGTGCTTGAGATTGAAAACTTATTCCTGCATGAGTCCATTTGGCAGCTTTTCATCTTCTTTTACATACATTGAATGCAATATGTGAGTCACATCAGAAGTTCAGTTTAAATTGCATTGTACTGTAGGGTCACTATATTGAGCAGAAGTCACAAGTGATCTTGGATATGACAGACATTGTTTCTTAGTGTTCCCAATGAAAGATAAGATTTAAGGTCAGTTCTGTCCAATTGACCATTCTCTCTAGGTGACGTTAGGGGACGCAACTTCTTGTGTTAGTATGTATAATTTAGCTTCAGTTTTTAATGAAATATTGGAAAAAATAATATAATAGGGTATATAAATATTAAATTTCTAATAACTTTTTTGATATACAACTAGCTTTGATAGTGCTGGTATATACAGATATCATATCAATAGGTTTTTAATATCATAAGAGTATTTTTAAAGATAAAAACTTCATTCAGTAATGCAGTTTATCTACTAAAATAATTGTATATATTTAAAACAAAAGTCCTAGATTGACTGTGCAGTGTTTCTCCGTAGGAAACATTTATTTAAAATACTGTATTATTTAATAATTTAGAGTTAAAAAAAAAAGCAATAAAACAACTGAATAATTTCAGAGGTAAGAATGCACTGGTTCCTAGATATTCTGGTTGGCACCAGTGAAAATAAAAAATTTTACCATCTTTACTTCCCTAACTCTAGCTATCTTTGTTCAAAAGTTATTTGGATTACTTAGGACTTGCTGTGTACCCTATATAAGTTATGTTATATGCAGGGAATTCTTGATTTTATTTGATTCTGTTACATCAACTTAGATTTTTAAAAAGAAACTACCATTTATAATTAAAATAGCAAATGGAAACACTTGCACAAATTATAAAATAAAATAATTGATTAAAATATTTTGAAAGTTTAAAATTCAGGTTTCAGTGTAAGCAAATCGTTTTCAAAAGATTCATACATTTTTCTCTGATATAATTAAGATTTTTTTTAGTATTTTTCAAAAAGAAGTATTTACTACATTTGATAACCATTCTCAAAAATACTAATTAATAATAATTTACATACTGGAATGTTCTGGTATAAAAAGTATTTATAGCTATCTGTATTACCAGCATTTGTTCAGTAAGAAAAATTTTTGTTTAGGTGAGTTGGTGATCGAAAACTTCAGCTGTGACTCCTCAGTTTATATCATCTCTGACTTTTATTTATATCAGTATAGGAACTAAATAATTAATATACTAATTATATACTTTTTATATGGATTGAAAATATACAGCNCTGTCCAATTGACCATTCTCTCTAGGTGACATTAGGGGACGCAACTTCTTGTGTTAGTATGTATAATTTAGCTTCAGTTTTTAATGAAATATTGGAAAAAATAATATAATAGGGTATATAAATATTAAATTTCTAATAACTTTTTTGATATACAACTAGTTTTGATAGTGCTGTTATATACAGATATCATAAGAGTATTTTTAAACATAAAAACTTCATTTAGTAATGCAGTTTATCTACTAAAATAATTGTATGTATTTAAAACAAAAGTCCTAGATTGACTGTGCAGTGTTTCTCCTTAGGAAACATTTATTTAAAATACTGTATTATTTAATAATTTAGAGTTAAAAAAAGCAATAAAACAACTGAATAATTTCAGAGGTAAGAATGCACTGGCTCCTAGATATTCTGGTTGGCACCAGTGAAAATAAAAAATTTTACCACCTTTACTTCCCTAACTCTAGCTATCTTTGTTCAAAAGTTATTTGGATTACTTAGGACTTGCTGTGTACCCTATATAAGTTATGTTATATGCAGGGAATTCTTGATTTTATTTGATTCTGTTACATCAACTTAGATTTTTAAAAAGAAACTACCATTTATAATTAAAATAGCAAATGGAAACACTTGCACAAATTATAAAATAAAATAATTGATTAAAATATTTTGAAAGTTTAAAATTCAGGTTTCAGTGTAAGCAAATCGTTTTCAAAAGATTCATACATTTTTCTCTGATATAATTAAGATTTTTTTTAGTATTTTTCAAAAAGAAGTATTTACTACATTTGATAACCATTCTCAAAAATACTAATTAATAATAATTTACATACTGGAATGTTCTTTTATAAAAAGTATTTATAGCTATCTGTATTACCAGCATTTGTTCAGTAAGAAAAATTTATGTTTAGGTGAGTTGGTGATCGAAAACTTCAGCTGTGACTCCTCAGTTTATATCATCTCTGACTTTTATTTATATCAGTATAGGAACTAAATAATTAATATACTAATTATATACTTTTTATATGGATTGAAAATATACAGCATACAAGGCATTTTATTGCTGTCAACATGAATCATCAGACTACTTTTTAGAATTATAACTTGTTAAAGATTGAGTAAAGCTATAGCTATGTCATTGTGGCTTTTTTATTTTATTTTATTTATTAAAGATAATAGAAATATTTAGTAACCTTATAACTTAAGAAAAGTGAGAACTAATCTGTTAGAAAATAAAAAACCAGGTTATATTTTTATTAAAATTCTATAAAGCATTGGTTTTAATATTGGCCCCCAGGCCATATCAAGCCCACAGCACATGTTAATCTGGCTCATGAGCATATTTGACACATTATGCTTATTTATATCATTTATAAGCAATTTTAGTATATATGGAATATATAAAACATGGCCCAGCAACTTATGACTTATGCACAGTTTGGCTTATCAATTGTTCTTGTCAAGAAATACTGTTGACTTATGTACCAATTTGCCCACTATGTTCTTGTTAAGAATTGAGGTACAAAGCAGAGGTAAGAATTGAAAGGAAAAGATAAATGTGGTTACTAAAAGAGTACTATTTAGCAACTGACACTTAATCCAAAGCAAGAAATATGGAAAAAGTAAAGATGGAAAGATATTAAAAAATTTTCAAAAATACTATAAATGCTACAATATAAGTGTGTACATTTATAAAGAAAAAATAATAATTAATAGCATTAAATATTGTTTTTAGTTGTTACATTTTTCATAAAATAGAACTCTCTTTTTAATCACCATATATGTGTGTCGGCAGTAAATATTCTTACTAAAAGAGTACTACTTACAAGACTTGACGCAAGGTGATCTCAGTATCACTAATTACTGAATTGGTAGTCATGTTGTTGATTAGTCAGACCATCAACTTTCTTTAAGATAGGAAATATAAGGAGTAGACTCTCTCTCTCTCTCTCTCTCTAATCTGTTGCTGGTTCTTGCTGAGTAGCTTGTTCAGCAACTTAGTTATCATAAGGCAACCAGGACAATTATGAATTTGAAACTCTGTTCATGAACTAAATTGTTTGAAATTTGAGGTTTGACTATACATACATATATATACATATGGACAACAAACTCCAAAATATTCTAATGCTCAAATGTTAAGGCTACATTAACTACAGGACTGGAACTTGGTTAATTAATTTTATAGATACTATATGATTTAAACTAAAAGTAGATAGTTAAGTCTTCATTTTGTATTAAATTTAATAATTATGTTAATTTTGAATTAAGTAATTTAGACTGTTCTGGAAATAATTATCAGTCCAGAGAGAGATTCAAACCCATAACTTTTGTTGCTTATCATATAGACACATTGCCAATTATCCTATCCACACTTTCATCTGGTCATTATCTTTAGATTAATTGAATTGTGAGATATCAGGTTTTATCTCACAATTTTGAATTAATTAATTTAAACTATTCTTCCATAATAGTTTAAATTAATTAATTCAAAACGCATATACAGTAATTATTAAATTTAATATAAGGTGATAGTTTAACCATCTACTTTTAATAAAATATAAAAATATAGAATTACAAGATGTCTTTGGGTATCAGTCTTCACAATCATCAGCAACATAGAATCTTCATCCAAAGACATTTTGTATCTTCTATATTTTTATTTTATTAAAATTGTAAATACTCTCAGCCAACTTGAAAAGAAATCATCTACTTTTAGTCCAAATTATGTAATATATAAGAAGTTGGCTAATACTGTCTTATTGTTATACATTATAGGTATATAATGATCAATATAATTAAATAACTAGTAAAAATATTTAAAAGGTCATATTGTTAATAATTCTGATTGGTAATTTTTTTTTTTTTTGTTTTGTTTGATAGAATCTGAAGAGCAGCAAAAATTACGTTTTCAAATAGAACTTGAATTTATTCAGTGTTTGGCCAATCCTAATTATTTAAATTGTAAGTATTAATTAATTAGTTACTTTTTAAAAATTTCATTATCATTTGGATGCATTGGTTATTAGTATTGATACTGATTAATTATCATTTAAATTTTGAAGTCAAAATCAATTTGGTTTTTATTTTTAAGAATATTAGAGTAACATTAAAAGTAAATGTGGAAAATTAAGTTTTAAAAGAAACAGTTGTCAACTTTTCTATGTTTTTGTTATTTCATAATAAAATTTAAATCCAAAGTAATTTTAAATGCATAAATGAAATGTATTAATTCTTGAATTAACACATATCATTATGAAAAAACTAGTAACATAGACTAGTAGTTTTTATCAGAATGTATAATCTTCTCAATAAATCTGTAATAGATAACACGGATTTGTTATTTATGTTTAACTTTCAAATTTTAATCTCTCTACTACTATATTGATAATAACATTTGATTTGATTACTTGTAAACAGTAAATATATAAATTGCTAAGTTTATTAGCAACTGATTAAGCAATTACATTAATGACAGTTTTAAGTTTTGCCACATTTCCTAAAGATACATATCAGTTAAGTTTCAAAACACCTTTCTCTCTTTTTTCTAGCAAATTCTTTAATTAAATCAAATGAACATATCTATATGTGAAGAAATCTAAGCATTTTATTTCAGATAATCGGAGTCCATTTATGTTTTTCAAGGGAACTGAGAAAATATTATGTAAGTCAGAAAAACATACAAGTGAAACTACTATTGACTTGCTTTCAGAGTGAATATAATTAGTTGTCACAAAAGTAAAGCCTGGCACAAATTAACACTGTTAACACTACTACTGAATTTACATGTTTAATTCTTAACAAAGAAGTTACATAGTACTAAAATCCAAAACCAATGTTGAAACAGATAACTTGTAAAATCAAAACCATTTACACTTTTTCAGCAAATGGGTTTAATGAACAAAGGCAGATTTAAGAAATAAACCAAAAAATTTATATTGGGTTGTACAGAAAGTAATTTCGTTTTTTATTACTAGAGGAATTAGATGTATTTTTACCAGCCAATTTCATTTTAAACCAAATTTTCATTATATACTTTGATAGCTGACATTTTAAGGCTTATTTGTAAAAAATTTTGTTTAATTCTGTACAATTGTTTTTTTTTTTTTTTTTGGTGTCTCCATTAAATATGGAAAATTGAAAGATCATTTTCGGCATATTTTGCTTTTTTATTACAAAAAAATCAAAATACTGTTCAAGCAAGAAAAAAATTGTGGTACATGTATGGAGATGATGTGTTGAGAGAAAGACTGCCAAAACTGGTTTACAAAATTTCGTTCTCGCAATTTCAATGTTGAAGATGCACCACATTCTGGATGGCCAGTTGAAGCCAATGAAAACAAAATAAAAATACTGATTGAAGCAAACTGCCAAATAACATGTGAAATCAGTAAGAGATTAAATTTGTTGAATTGAACCATTTATGATTACTTGAAATGAATTTGTTTCATTTCAAAACTTGATATATGGGTTCCACATATTCTTAAAGAGAGTTGATCTCTTTGGTGGGATTTTAAGGAAATTTTTTTTTGAGCTTTTATCAGACAATTTAATAATTGATTCGAAAGTGTGCTGCCTTTGAGTAAACAAATTGAGTAATATCATCAAATAGAAAACGCCAGAATTGATCAGCAAAAAAGATGAGTGTTTTACCACGATAATGTCAAATTTCACACAAGTTTGGTAACTCGTCAGAAACTGTTACAGCTCAGATGGGATGTGAAATCACACCAACTATATTTGCCAGATTAGGCACCCTCAGATTATTACTTGTTCTGGTCTATACAAAATTTTTTAAACTAAGACATTTTCTTGAAATGAAAATGTCAAAAATCACTTGGATCAGTTTTTTTGTAAACAAAGATAAAAACTTTTATGAACATGGAATCATGCTACTACCAGAAATGATGGCAACAGTGTTTCACCAAAATGGTCAATATATAATTCAATAAAATATTTATTTATTATAAAAATATTGCTTTTTTCCACGGAAAAAACAAAATTACTTTCTGAACAACCCAATATATTTGTTCATTAAATCCATTCACTGGAAAAAGGTGGATGATTTTAATTTTACATGTTACTATGTGTATAATACATTTGAAAATCATATAAAAATAAAACAATATAAAATTGAGTCATATACTTTTAACCAAGTTTTTTTGTTTCTTGTTTTTTTGATGGACTTGTCAAATATTAGTACAATATGGGAAATCAGTTCTCCTTCCACCAAAACTCCAGTCACATGAAAGAAGAGCCATTATAAAGTTTAGCTTACACTGACTATGAATACTAATGAGAAATTGGAAGCAATTTTTATTCACTTTGTGAAATTGGTTTACATTATAAAATGGGGAAAGTGAAAGTTTTCAGCATATTGGACTGATGGAGTGATTTACTATATGGGAAAATTTATCTGAAACAGCATCATATGTTACATATTATACATTTGATTTGTTTGCTGTATATTATTCACTCAACAAATTTCCAGCAAGTACAAAAAAACAATCAGTGTGGATTAACCTGAAATGAATAAGTAATGATTAAAAAAAACATTAAAAAATTAAAATTTTTTCATTCTAATTGAATAATGCATAAGTAAGAAAAAATGCTGTAGGATACTGAAAAATATGATACATAAGTACAAACTCATATACAGTAGACCCCTATAACATGGGTTCATATAATACGGATTCATATAACACGGCAAAAAAAATTGTGATCATATTCGTGTAAACACGTTAAAAGAGACTCGTATAATACGGTAAAACGTCATCGCCGACTCGTGTCGCGACAGGATTGGTCGAATCTAGACCAATAGTGGATATTGCATAAACCATTGAGTTTAAATGAGCAGCAGACCTACTAAAAAACCATTTATTATTTAACAGCCATAAAAATTATATTTATATTAATGATGTCTCCAAAGTTCAGCAAATTTTTCGCAGAAAAATAACTTATCAGAAAACACGCGCCCGCTGTTCGATGCACCACTCTGCAACAAAAACAAGTTTAAGCAATGGCGTCGTCAAACGGTGCACATCTGGTAAGTAATCCTACATTTTTTTGTTTATATAATAGTTTATATGGATTATTCNTATAAAAAACCATTTATTATTTAACAGCCATAAAAATTATATTTATATTAATGATGTCTCCAAAGTTCAGCAAATTTTTCGCAGAAAAATAATTTATCAGAAAACATGCGCCCACTGTTCGATGCACCACTCTGCAACAAAAACAAGTTTAAGCAATGGCGTCGTCAAACGGTGCACATCTGGTAAGTAATCCTACAATTTTTTGTTTATAGCATAGTTTATATGGATTATTCCCAAAAAATTATACGTGTCTTGGAAATGTTGAGTCGAATTAGTCTAGAATCAATTAATTTTATTGAAGAAAATCTTTCAAATAGCCGTAATCCCTAAAGTGCACACGCGCTGGTCTATGATTGGCTCATGTATTTAAGTGACTTGTAAAACACGGAATTCATATAAAACGGAACATATCTTCCGTGTTATAGGGGGTCTGCTGTAAATGAAAAGTGTATAACTTATATGTTAAATATTTTCTCCGTTAAAAAACATTTAATTACAAAAAATATATAACTGAGAAACATAAATGGGGTTAGCATAAATTATTAAAAGTTTAATCAATTTTAAAATGGTTGTGCTGAAACATACAATTCTGTCATAGTAATTTTAAAATTAATAAAATTATTATATATAAACAACCAAGCCCAAATATCTACAATGATTTGTTAACAGAAATGAAACAGATAACAGAATACAGAGTGATTCAAAATGAATGGGACAAAAAGAATGTACACCTGTGACTGCTGTAATGGATTTATTTTGTTAATACAAATTTTTCTGGGAAAATACACTATCCAAGTTTCTAGAGATGTTCAATGTGAGTCCCTTCTGTTACCCAGTAAATGTCTATGCAGTAATCCAATTCCTGCCACACTCGTGATATCCTGTTATTGATCTCAACACGTCACTTATCCACTCTTTCAATTACTGTAAGTCCTGAGGAAGTGGGGTCATGAACACTTTGTCCTTTACAAAAACCCCCAGAGGAAAAAATCACGCGGTGTTAGATCTGGTGATCTAGGCAGCCAAAAAAGGAATGACACATCATTTGTCCCAGCACGGCCAATCCAACAATGGGGTAGATTCTTGTTGAGGTAATCACATACATCTTTATGCCAATGTGTTGGAGCACTGTCTTGTTGAAGAATGAAGTCAGGAACCGCTTTGTCTAACTGAGGCAACTACCACTTAGAGAGTATGTCTTGGTGGATGAAACCCATAATCGTTTTTTCCACAAAGAAAAATGGTCCAAACACACAGTTGTTGATTATGGTGCAGAAAACATTTACCTTTTGGAGAATCCTCTTCATGTGACAGTGTCAAATGCTGATTATCCGAGCCCCAAAAGCATAAATTCTGGCAGTTAACTTTGCCACATAATGAAAGGTGGCTTCATCTGTAAACACCAGTCTGTTGGCAAAACCATCAACTTTTAGCTTTGCTTGCAAATCTATACAGAATGCTCTACACAATGGTTTGTTGGTACCTGTCAAAGCCTCTATCATCTGAAATTTGAATGGCTTGAATTGTAGATGCTTGTGGAACACACACCACACTGTTGTTTGGAGCACATTCAGTTCTACACTGGCATGATGTGTAGATTTTGTTGGACTTCATAAAAACATTTTACGAATCTTTTCCACCATTTTGTTTTTGACCTGTGTTCGTCTGGTGCTTTTTCGCTTGCATAAGCAGCCTGTCTCCTCAAACTGTTTCACTTCACCTTATGATATTATGACAATGACATGGTTCTTTACCAAATTTGGTTCGAAAATGCCTCATAACAATAGGTAATGAAGTTTTTGCATATTCCAACACACAATAAGCTTTCTCTTGTGGAGAGGTCGTGATTTGGAATAACAGCGCTTCTGGTGGCGATTTCATATGTAGAAGAATTGTTGCTACAAGATAAAACTTCTATACTTGTACTTTTATCTTAGAATTATATTTGCATTTGCTAAATAAATCCATTACATAAATTGTATGCTGCTCTTCTTTTTGTCTCATTCATTTTGAATCGCCCTGTATTTTAATGTTTGAATTGGCAGTTTTCTAAACTGCATACCAGTAACTATCTTGCTTTCAATGGCTGCTCTGGAGGCATGGCATATATAATAGAGTGAATTATACAAAGGTTTTATTTTTGTTCTTGCAATTTTTTGCGAGTTATATATTGCCTTGAGTTTTCTGCACAAAATTTTTTTACTGTTTGCCCTATAGGCACTAAGACGGCCTTTTTATCAGATCTACAATGGTGTGAGGTAGATGACTGAGTTATCTGGAACAGATTTTCTGAAAAATGTTTTTTAGAGTTTTTAACCCATGCAGATTTGATCCTGGGTTTCCTTGAGCAGTAAGATGCCTTAACTGTCTCAACCACCCAGCCAACTGTTAATTAATTGATAAATACTATCTTTAGTTGTAAATATGACTTTTTATTAGATATTTCTATTTTTTCTGAAGTTTATCTATTTTTATATTTGCAGTTTTAGCTCAGCGGGGTTATCTGAAAGATAAAGCTTTTGTCAATTATTTGAAGTATTTGCAATACTGGAAGAAGCCTGAATATGCCAAGTTTTTGAAGTGAGTATGATCAACTTGAAATATATTCTTACTTTTTTTTTTATTAAGTTGTGTCTTTTAAAAATATAAATTATTTCTAATTCATTCAAGATTTATGATTTTTTTAAAAGCAAAATTTGTTTTGTAGATATCCCATGTGTCTCTATTTCTTAGAATTACTACAATATGAACATTTCCGACGAGAAATAACTAGTGCACAATGTGCAAAATTTATTGATGATCAACAGCTGTTACATTGGCAGCATTATACCAGGAAAAGAACAAGACTTCTTCAACCTCAGACTGAAACAAATCCAATAGTTTCACAAAGCCAGCCACAAAAATAATACAAATCAAATAATTATTATAATTACTTATTAATCTACAAGGAAGTTGATATTTGTAATGTATGTCTTTGACTATAGTAGATCTGTTAGTTTAATTAAAAATGAAATGGAGTAAAGAAAAATATTTTTTAAAATGTATATAAAAATTGGTTTTTATAAAATGATAAATTGTATGCCAATTCATTTTTAATTTAATACGTTATAAATCTAAAAATTACACTAAAAAAATATTTCAATACAATTGTTTATTAATAATATGATCTGTCAAAGGATACCTGAATCCATTTAAATCTAAACATGAATACTTATTTTTAAGGAAATTATCTTTAATAAAATGTTTGTCTTAATATAAAATAGGAAAAATAATCACTCCAAATGTATCTTATTCCATAATTTTTTCAGTAGTTAATCTAATAGAAAACAAATATTAAACTTCAGAAAAATTTCAAATTTATAGGATTACTGATAAGTAAAATGTGTTATATATTTCATACACACAGTGTATATTGTAAAGTACTATATTATTTTTTTCCGACTTTTCCAACGATTATCAACACTACTGCGTGCCGGAAATAGCCGTTCCCTAACGGGTACTTTACGCGGATTCGCGTTAGTGTGCCAGGCCTGGACTTTAAGCGTGCACCGAATTAAATAATGACAAAGTTTGTCAATAACAAAATCAAATATTTAATTAAACTTCTAGTAATAAACTATATACAGTATTTAGTAAAAATCAAACAATAATTTATTCAATGAAATTCAACAAGAATCAACCCGACAAACTCAAATCAATCTATTTCTAACTTAATTCTATTCCCCTTTGGAATTCGACAAAAATCAAAGACTTAACTTATAAACAATATTTCTTATAAATTAAAGATCCTAATCGTCACCTCAATATACTAGGAACCTATTTCCTCAAACTCTCAAGACTTTCTATAATCGTCGATCCATAAATCGAATAACTTCAAAATCGCCTTGGAACTATTTGATCCTATCGGACACCTCTCGTTCACTGCTACGAAGCTCACCAAAGCTCGTTGCTATCAGGAGTTCACCTCGTTCATCTTCACTTGAGACTCGGGATTTATAGTGTGAGGTGACGTCACAATTCTGAATGAGATCACTCTCCTCATTTACATACTTAACGCTAACAATAAACTTTTTTCGTTTGTCTGGCAGCCTATTTTCCGACAATACTCTCTAACCTTTTACATTATTCTTTTTCACAATTTTTGGGACTTTTTTTTTATTCTTTAAGGTTTAGCAAGTCCCTAATTCGTGCTTGTGGGGTCTCCCCCCTTTTTCTCGGTGCGGACTTACTTTTTTCCGCTTGGGAAGCGCAAGTGTGCGCGAGTTTTTCTACGGCGCTTTTCTTTCGTCGGTGAGTTGGTTTTTCTTCTATTTTTAAGTTACAAAGGTAATGGTGAGGAAACTTTCGTCCTAACAAAACATAAGCCCCAAACAAAAATAGAATAATAAGCAAAATAAAAGTAAATAAAAATAACGTTCGGACTTGGTTCCTTACAATATTTACATTACCAATAGCTTTAGAATGCAAAATGGATAAACATGAATATGGTAGGTTAAATTGTGAATATTGAGAAGGGTTATCTATAAACTGTCTACTCTAAAAAGGATATTAAATATGATAATTTTATTACAGTCAACTACCTGGCACGTGATAAATTGAGCTTGACATGAACAATCTGCATTTATAATGTAAAATGCCCAAATAATAAGTGTGACAGTTTTACCTTCTAACAAGTAAGATGGACTTGTGAAGAATATAAGTTTTTGTGAAGAATATAAGTTGTGACTTACTTGCTTGTCTGTTGAAATCTTCAAAACATGTATACCAGAGGAATGTGTGTGCACAAGATAAGACACTAAAGGCTGTGACACACTAGGCAATTTTTGTGGGAGTCATGTTGCTAGACAAAAGAAAAACATGTCTCTAGAGCAGTCATTGGGGAGTCAAATGACGACTTTTGAGAGAGAGAAAAGTCATTGTAACCAATGATCATGCACAGATTTATCACAGAAGTATAGCTCTTGTTTACAACACAAAAATAAAATGGAGAAAGTTTTCTTGTAAATGGTTGATAGGACATGACGTTTAATTTCATTACTTCAATTGTTTGAACCACTTTATAATCACACTATTAAAGAATATCATGACCAGGTACTCAAGGTGTTTTTGCACCATTGGCAAAAATTTAGGATTACCAGATAAGAAATGTTGATCATATAACTCAGGCAATTTGTTTCCTCATATGCCAAAACATCATCAAATTTCAACAGGTTTGTGCTACTCAGAGGTAAGTCTCCTTGTTGAGATAGTGCCACAGCATTAAGTTGAAGCATCAATGTCGCTGTCTCTCATTCACTTATACGAGAAATTTGATATTCGTTTATTACTCTTTTTCATGACAATGGTCACAATCCACATACTGTTAGATTGTGTGCATACTACATTAAAAATTTGAAATGTAGGCCCCACACTGTTTTATGGTGGCACTTACATTCAACACCCCAAAAGTGCTGATATTTGTGGCCGTACACACCTGGGATATCGGTATTGAAGCTGGGCAGTCAAAAAACCCAGAAACTTTTCAGAAAAATATCCCAGATATGTTGTGAAATTGATGTAATTTAAATGGCTCTCTTAGCCCCACAGCAGAGAAAAAGTGACTTATGTTCATTAACACTTTTTCTCTGCTGTGAGGCTAAGAGAGCCATTTAAATTACATCAATTTCACAACATATCTGGGATATTTTTCTGAAAAGTTTCTGGGTTTTTTGACTGCCCAGCTTCAATACCGATATCCCAGGTGTGTTTTTAAAATAAAATCTCATAACAGTTAAGAAATTAAACAAATAACATTATACTAGTCACTAGTCTATTCAATGCAGTACGAATTTGGTGTTAGCCTTGGCCCTCGGCATCAGAATTTTGAAGTGAAGGGGGCGATACTACGTAACGGTTTTACTGAAGGGGGCGACGATTAGTTAGAGGTTGAGAAACACTGTGCTAGACGATTGAGGAAAGATTTTGAGTTATAGGTTCCACTGTGTTATGATTATGTATTTGTACATAAATTTGACAAAATATAATTTAATTAATTTTTTCGTCCGATGGTTCTTTTAATTTAATTAATATTTTGAGACAAAGTTCGCCCAAACAGGGACCACCATTTATTAGTTCTGTGTTTCAGACGATACAATCCTGGCAATCGACCTTCCTTTTTAGGCTACTAGCCGGCAAAACGTCCTTTTAAAAAATACACACATTTCCAATTAAAAAATATAAAATTTTTCTAAAATAGGAACTGGTGATATAAGAACGTCGTTTTGATAACCATCTAACCTTCTTGAGAGGATTTTAACCTTCGCCAGGATTGTATTGTCTGAAACACAGAACTAATAAATGGTGGTCCCTGTTTGGGCGAACTTTGTCTCAAAATATTAATAATTTAAATTATTAGGATTTTAAGTGTCATTAAACTGTAATAAATGTTTAATAGAAAATGTATAATTAGAATTACAAATTTTCTCAAATATACTTTTTGTTGTAATGTTTTCCTAATAATTCCTCTTAATTAAATAATGCTTATTTAATTATTATTAGATGAAACAAAGGAATAGTAAGTCTGCCACTAAGTGACCAAAAATCATTCGTTTTTGCAAATTAAAATTAATTAGTTTATAAAAAATATATCGCAGATTTAAAATTATAACATTAATTGCCATTTTATTTTAATTCTAAAGTTAAATTTATGAGGATTTTCTAATGTTTCTAAATGTCTTAGTTTAATGGTAAGAATAGAATCATTACAGTTGTGTTTCAAACTCGATTAAACGCAGAAAACAGAATTTTGTTATTTAAATTTGTTATTAATTTAACGTTTTACAGTAATTAACTCGTTACTTTTATCTAGTTATTTGAAACTACCGATCGGATCAGAAGAAATAGAAAATATACCGGGGGATAAGTATTAGTAAATGCAATAAATATTCTGGAAATTAATTTGGCATTTTTATTAATATTGTAATGGATACAAACATTTCGAATATAAATCAATCGAAAGAGTTAATTGAGAAGATAGCTAAATACGCCGAAGGATCTGTCCAGACAAAATGTGCGATACAAAATAATGTAATCGAAAGTAAAAACGCGTTATGTCATCCGACAATAAACGAATTGGAAAAGATTATAGATGAGCTGAGAACAGATATTCGCAAGGAAAGAAAAATGGAAGAAATGAAAAATAAAATAAATTACTTCAGTCCGATTCATTTCGTTCGAAAAATAGACGATTTCAGCGAGATTAGAAGTAGTAACGAAAAACTAGAAGACAAATTATCAGATATCGGGATAAAACTTTTGGTAAATAAGTTGGACAAATTAGAAAGAACGTCGAAAGGGAACGAAAGCGAAGTTCGCAAATTGTTGCATAACACTAATTTAACTTCTAAAAGAACAGATAGTATTGATATTAACAACAAAGAACTACAACCATTTCTTCGGTAATGCCTATCTTTTTCCTTAATATCTTAAACCAAACACATAACTTAGTGTTCGTAAATAATAAAGTCGTCATCAGGTAAAGTCCCTTATTTTACGGATTTGGTCCTAAAAGAATGGTTCAAAACCTGCCCTGCGTCTTACATGTGAAGTTTGTGAGTTCAAGGGTTAACCTCTACCTAGCTTAACCCTTGAATAAAAACGTTATTCTTTAATTAAACTTACTATTATTACTGATTATTGCTTTTTTAAAACTAGAATACAGTAAAATATCTTTGGGCCCGACTGCCAAAGGCATGGAATAGCTTAAACATTCGTACACTAAATACTTCCCCCCTAAATATTTGTACTGAAATAGGTTATTAAATACTTTCTCTGTTGCTATAAATTCCGCTGGATCCTCCATTGCAATCCAAGTGCGCTCACACCGACGCGAATCCGTCTGCCAAAGTATGCGGTGCGGTTCCTTTTAAGCACAAAATAAATGTTCCACTCTAGTTGTTAATACACACGAGGAGAAAAAATTAAAACGGAACGGAATTGCACACGATTATGGTAATTATTGATCTATCGGATGCTTTTGATATGATCCGTTTTGAAAAAAAAATCACGAAAGTATTGTTATTGTAAGAATCAATGCGCAATAAGTCGTGCAATACGTATGGTCACTTCAACTTTTTACATAAAACTTTCAAAAGCCGTGAAATTATCCATTTCAATTTTCATAATTTTATCTTGCATTTTATAAAACTCAGGTTTTAAAGGTATTTGGTGGAAATTTTATGGGAAAGTCATATAGAAGCCACTTAAATAGAAGCTACTTTGGCTTCTATTTAAGTGTTACAAACGTGAAGAAAACCCGGAAAACTCCGCGAGGCGTGAACCACAATCAGTGTTCAGCGGTTTTATCAGTTCTGCACAGGTCCTCGAAGTTATTAGAAAAAGGGGAAATCGTATCGAGCATTTTCTACGGATTCTCTTTTATTGCCAGTTTCTCATTACTGAAAACATGATGATTTCATATTTTTGAACTCGGACCTGTCATCATCGTTAAATTTTATTTATTGCATTTTTACAGAAATAATAGCTGTTGGGCGACGAATTTGATTAGAGCAAAAATCAAGATTTCTTCCCCCACAAAAATAGGTACTCTTGTCAATAAAACAAAATTGAAAATACAGAACAACTGTAGAAATCTCTGTCCGAATGCATTAGTTTACAGAACACGGAACTATTTATTAAAACCTACAATGGCAGATAAATTAGAAATTTATCTCATTGATCACAAAATCGAAGTAAGAGATTAAATTAATTAAAAACAGTTAATTTTTTGTGTACGACTATCGCATTTTAAAAATAGAACGAAGCGCAAATGAAAGACGAAATAATAATACTTTTGCTGGAACAGAGAGACGAGGAAATGAAATTACATTGTGCTAAGTTAAAAACGAGTAAAATAATAAATTTATATATTTTTGTTTGATAATATTTCACAAAAATCATCAATGAGAATTTAAAAATTTCGTTTTAGAACTTTTACGAATGAAAATAAATCGAAAGGACAGACAGGTATTACTGTTAAATAATTTTATTGAGCATGCAAGAAACGTTTCCGAGAAGAAACTGATCGAATTAACGAAAGATATCGGTGAGAATTTCTCTTGCTTTTAATAATTTGATGTATTCTTGCTTAATTTTTGTACAGATTATTTTTTTTTATGTTAAAGAACTTGAAAATACAAATAATACGAGTGTATGTTTGCATTCTTACTAAATGATTATAATGGTGACGATTAATTTATGATTGTAAAATATTAATATAATTTTTATATTGCAGAAAAACTGAAGAGTGATGGAAGGGGAATATTATCTGCTCTACGGTCCGAATATTTACTTTTGATAACAGAAAAAGAAAACGTCCAGGTGATTACTATTTAAAAAACTATTTTAAATTTTATGTTGAAAATAATTATTATGAAAACAATTGTAAAATTTTAATAAAGTTAATGTTTAAGTAACAGGAAAATCCCGTTATAGGGGTGATACGAAATAATTTACATGATAAATTTTTTTCTAATGCTAACTAGTATAGATTTCGTTTAAAAATTAAATGAAGATTATGGTTCAAAAATTCTTTCATAAAAATGAGATCCATATGTTATTCTTAATTGTCGATATTCTTTACGTCAGACAATATATGGAATGCAAAACATTACAAAATTGACATCTACTTTATCCAAAATGATCGTTTTTAATCTTTAATAACAGAGACGTTATATCAAATGTCGAGCGAAAGAAGAGAATAAAGTGAATTCGGCAATACAAGATCTGAGATTTTACAATGCATCATTTGAAAAAATTATTAATCATTTATCAGGTAAAATTTATTTATTGATAATTTTTATTATAAACAAATTATTTGTTGGAAAAAATATTATATTTGTACTTTAGAAAACGAATCGTCTATGTCTATATTGGAAATATTGCAAACTATTAAATACGAAATTCGAGCTGACGAATTTTTTCTCTCTCTTCTATATCGAGTAATTTAGTCATTTTTATACCAGTTTATATTATTCAAGTTTTCGTCATATATTTATATACATTAACTTTAAATTTTAGAGAAATAAAGAAAAATATGAAAATCTTTCTTTAAATATAATCAAAAACGATTTGTATTTAGAACGTCGCCATTGTGAAAGATTAGCAAAATTGAAAATAAAGACAGATTATACGCAAGATCCAATAATTCTCTGTATGAAACAATTTTAATAAATTTTTAAAAAATTATCCTTTGAACGTTTTTCCCTTTCTATAATTAAATTGTTTATCGTGAGCGTGAAAACGCTAAAATTTACATTTTCATTAAATGATTTGAATATAAAACGATTATCTCTTTTTTTTTTCTTTTGTCACTCTAGTCTGATCCTTAGATATCGATTCATATCCTCCGTATAATGCTATGGCTTACCATAGATTTCTATTACCATTAAGAGAACTAACCTTTTGTTCGTTATGTTGAAGACACCGAATGCGAGATCCGTGGTACCGGTTGCAGCTCCTTAAACTTTATACACCCATTGGCCGAGCGCTGTTGGCTATTTTTGTAAATGGTCCCTACCTGCTTGGCACCTGGGCTGTGGGACCTGTCTCCCACCCATTAGGGGTTTTGTACAGGGGTAGTTTGTAGGGATGCGAGATCGGTGGTACCAGTGGAGGCATTGCTAAACTTTATCCAAAATGGATTTTATGATGAATTTTGTGAATATAAAGTTATTTGGTAATTAACGTAGAAATACTAAACTTTAACTTTGTCTGCTAAAATAAATCACTCGAAGTCGAATAAGAGAAAGTAGTTTTACTTGGTTTTAATCTAGAAATTATTTTATTAATTTTTAGAATTTACAACAAAATTTTTTTATGAATTAATTTATAATTTTAGATTTCTATTTAAAAGTCACCCAAAAAGTCTCAGATAAACTTTAGAGGTAGATCAGGAATACAAGCTATTTCTAAAGTTTATCTAAGACCTTTTGAATTATTCTGTGTAGAAAGTTCAATGCAGTATGCTGAATATATGATTTTTCAAAATTTACATTATTTGTATGTAAATTGTTAAACATAGAGTAAAAAAAAACTACAATGTTGATTGATTATCTAAATTTAATAAAAGTAAGTTTATTTTTCTGTGGTAACACTTGGCATTATATTTATTCAAGTATGACATATTTAAGTTAAAAGAATGGGTGCATTCAGTGAACAAAAAGTGTGCAGCTCTAAGGTTGGCTAATGTGTTCAGTTACTTAATTAATCATCAGATTTTCTGCCTCAGAGGGACAATGGTGCGATTTGCAAATTTTTCAGTAGAGCCAAGAAATTTTGCTGCATTTATTTACTGATTTATAGTATTTTTTCAAAGTATCAAAGTTGTTAGGATAACTTGGCCTAGAAATTCACATAGATTTCATTTTTTTGTCATCATGTTCTAATGTTTTAGAAATTTCCCACTTTGTTACTTGCAACATTAAAACAGAAGCATGACATCTTGATACTGCAAAGGGATAAAGAAATAGTATAACATTAAACATTTATGTATTGGTAATTCTGTTATGTTCTTCCATATTTAATATTGAAGATTTATTTGTTGAATTTTATGTTTTCATTCATTTTTAAGTATGATAGACAGAATGGAAAATGTGTTGTATTAAGCAGATACTTCAATTCTGCAGAATGCAAGAATTGAAGTATCTGCTTGAACAATAGCTGACTATATCAAAAAAGCAATAATTTTATAGCATTCAGCAAACAGCAGCACTATCAGATAATCTACATTTGTGTTTTTGTTTGGCATACCAGTTATGAGAGTGGCCTCAATTTGACCATTCAAAATAGATCTCTATTAAGTGACTTGAGTTAGGTAATCAGAAGCTAACACATTGACCTGAACTACCTACAAAAATTAGAGATTTGGATTAAATTCTAACTTTGATCCAGAATGATTCTTAGTTAGCTGGTAGCATTAGAATGTATCTGGCAACAATTTTTATAATTGATAAATTAATATTTTACTATAAGATGGTTTTTTATTTAAAAAAAAAACAAGTATTAACATAATATTAATGAAAATAAATGATTTCAGAATCAAAGTAATTGTTGAGTTTTAAAATTTTAAATATTTTTTTTTTATTATTTACTGTATTTTGAATTTAAATAAATTAAAACACATTAATTTAAAACTGAATACATTATAAATTTATTCCTGTCACAAAATAGGGATGGATAATAATATCTGAATAAGTAACAGTTTTGTACACTGTACACTAGAATTTCTATTAAATAATGAAGGTATTATTGTAATAATAATATATATGGTATGGTATTTAATTCTTAAAGAACTTTGTTTTTATTAAGAAAGACATGAAATTTTACTTAAAAATGTATATATTTCTTTTGCACATTATTTATATACATACCAAAAAATTTATAAACATTAAAATTTTAATGATTGTAGACCAACAAATGAAATTATCACAATATTGCAGATGTCTTTGCATAATAATTTCAATTGAGCTATTTTGTAGTCATCTTTCAAAATCCCCTCGAAGATCCGCCTTTTCTATGGTCGACATTTGTATATATTTTTCCATCGTCACCCTTCACTATACCTAAGACGACTGTGCCTTCTGAAGTTGGCTTAGTTTTATGACCATACTTTTTCAAATTGTCAAGAAATATCTATAAAAATAATATTAAAATATGACAATTTTATGTCAAAATTTTATTTAAAAATTTATGAATTTCAAACCTGAGGAAAACCGTCTTCGTACTGAAGGTAATTAGGATAAAGTTGATGATGTAATCTAAGTGCATCTACACTTTTTTTAAGACTTTCTTTAAGCCATAATGTTCGCACCATCACCTAATTAATTATACATAGATTAAATGGTTTGTTATAAAAGGATTTATTACTATTTTTTAGAGAACAAAAATTAAATTTAAATAAAAATTAAATAAATTTTTTTATGGTAATTGAAATATATTATGGTATTGTCTAATATTGTAAGTTCTAATGCTGTTGATAATTCCATTTTATATGAATTCCATGTTATACGAGTCACTTAGATTTTACAAATATGTGAGCCATTTACAGCCCGGCACATGTATTTGTAAAATCTAAGTGACTTGTACAACATTGAATTCATATAAAATGGAATTATCAACAATGTTATGGGGAGTCGACTGTAATTTACAAAAACTGAAAAGTCACATTTAAAAAAATTAAAACTATAGATATGTTTATGCCAAAAGTCATGTTTGAAATGTATTTTTTAAAATTTTCAGATTTCAGTTGTTTTAATTAAAGAACTTTATCTTGTTTCTTGAATTTTTTACCCTCCAAGAACACACTGAAAATACAATCACAACTTGTCAAGTGCTTTCATATTGTTTATATAAATAATGGTAGCATTCTCTGATGGGTAACCTTTCTTAAACCTGTTTAGAATCTTGAAAGTTTGACTTTAAGTGATGATGTATACAACTGTGACTGGGGGGTCGGCACCTCTTTGATGGACTGACACGGAAGCCACGGCACCTCTGAAATAGGTCACGCGAGCAGTCGCGTAACGGAGTGATTGGGTTTGGTATGGAGTGAGAGACAGCACTCCAGAAGTGACTCATGCAGAGGCCTCATTAACAAAACGTTTATTTGTAAAAGACAAGAATTCATGATCATACAAGGCATCAATAGGGATAGCTAGGCCTAATGTTGCATTTCAAGAGAGAGAGAGTTTACAAGAAATGGACATGGCAATAAATACTTTGGGATAATGATGATGTTCGGCAACAGTCTGGCACTATTTGTTGAGAGGTTCTCTAGATTGCTCTGGATCGTATAATCGAGTATCTTGGTCTTTTGAGGTAGAGTTTGTCTTCAAAATAAAAGGCATATCCTTAGATGAGGAAATATACATTTAACTGAGTATCCACAAGAATTAGGTGCACAAGAACTAAGTGTATCTGTTAGAACTGAAATAGGCTCTAGATAGGGGATGATATTCCTTTGAGGGACTGGCAACGACTGCCTAACTTCTTTGTTCTGTTCTATATTGAACGGATGAAATCAAGATGTTAGGTTGGGAGGTGATGAGAAAGCATCGTTTCTGGGTCTGAGAACCTAACAGATGTTTTGCTCCCAGGTAAAAGTTGACAGTTATTTGACGAGATTGTAGCTACGATGCGATGTTATGAGATAATAATGTAAACATACTGAAAGCCAAGATTCGGATCCTTACACAATAACATATAGGATAATATTTTATAATTTGTTTGCTCTTTATTATTCTTATGGCCAAAAAGTATAAATACTGTATTTCAAGATATGAGAATTTACTTTTTGTAACAGAATGGAATACACTGATCATCATCATGGTTCATGCACTATAACAACAGACAGTAATTAGGTAGGAAATAAGTATGTTACTTTATTAATAAAAGAATATACTTTCTGGTAACTGTATGTTGTACTGTATACAGTAAACAAATTTCACAACAATGGAAATACTGGTCCCATAAAATGTGAAATAATATCTCAGAGAAAAGACAGTTTAGTAGAGATCTTTTTTGTAGGTAAGAAATGAAAACAGGTTAAAGTATATATTGTTTGTGTAAAATAAAAAAATAACTTTGGATGATACAATAACTACAATTATTTTTTTCGAAAATGGAAAATTTTTTTTATGCATTGACAAAAATTCAACCCAGGCCTACACGTAACAGAGAGAAATTTCGAAATTGGATAGGCTAATTTCATTGAAAATGCATCGTGGATGACCTCATGGTTGTGGCCAGCAAATGAACAATCACACTCAAAAGCAGCGATACCAAAGATGATTGGAGAATGAGAATGAGACCTACCTTGAGCATCAAAGTGATTCTGCTTAGTAGTGAGTCTCCAAGACACAGTCTTGTCCCAAATACGATTTTGCTGTTTTACTTGTTCAAGCTCCGATGGTCCATAAAACAAAGACAAGACTAAATAACAAAATAAATTTTTACCATAAATTAGGCACAAACATGGTTACTTTTTGACATAATCATCGTGAAGATTGAGGAATTTGTCATATCTGTGGACAAGTTTTTCCATCCCCTTGAAATAATGTTGTCACCAGTGAATTGAGATGGTCTTAACAACATTGTTTTGAACATCGTCATTAGTCTCAAACTTCTGCCCTGCTAGCCATGTTTTCAGTTCAGGAAAGAGGTTCAAGTCTTCACACATTAAAAAGTTCCAAGCTGGGTGGAAGTCTTCACCATCTTTAAACACCCAGTGTATAGCCCCGATTTAGCACTGAGCGACTTCTGCCTCTTTCCTGAACAGAAAAAGTGGCTAGGAGGGCAGAGGTTTGAGACTAATGACAATCTTCAAAACAATTTAGGGCCCATCTGAAGTCATTGGCGGCAACATTCTATGACAAGGGGATTGCAAAGCTCGTCCACAAATATGACAAATGCCTCAAACTTCACGGTGATTATGTTGAAAAGTAACCATGTTTGTACATAACTTTTGGTAATAAATTCATTTTGTTATTTACCATTGGAGCTTAAAAAAAACAGCCTACATATTAATATGCTCAATTCCTAACTTAATATTCTTCAATGCACTCAACTGTTCATTTATAAACCAAAAATTAAGAACTAAACTTATTGATATATAAATTAAGGTTTAATTATATTTAAAATTACTTACCTGGGCCATTGCAGTTGGGATTAAAGCACCACCAGCACCACCAATTACCATTTTAACATTTTTACTTTTGTCAACGAGGACAGACGGACTCATAGACGATAGTGGTCGCTTTCCCGGTTTTAAAAAATTAGCAGGGGATGATGGTAAACCAAAGTAATTTGTCTTATTTGGATATGAGAAATCATCCATGCTATTGTTCAATATAATTCCAGTAGAATTTGAACGTCTTTTTGAACCAAACCTACACACAATAAGAGAAATTTCTGAGACAAAGTATTTAATGAGTAATGCTACTTCAGTACAGAACAACTTTGTACTAGTTATAAATTATAAGATATTGTTAAGAATATCTTTTAATTGCATATATCTTAAACATATCTTTTATAATACAACAAACACAAAAAAATCTGAATAATTATAAACAAGACACAAATTAAACCAAACTCCAGTAAGAAACAACAAATTAATTGATAAATCTTACAAATTAAACCAAATTCCAGTAAGAAATGTGTACCTTGATTTATCTTAAATATTTAATAGTTGTCAAAGAATCAAGCTGGATTTATTATTTGCCTAAATTTTGTCTAATTAAATATACAAATCTTAATAATTTGGACTAAAGATTAGAATGAAAGATGTATTAAATTTAATAATAGCAATTAAGTTGACATTTAGTATATTCTGGAAGAAAAGAATGATCCATGATCCAGGATTCAAACCTGCACTGCTGCTTACCATGTAGATGCATTTCAAGTTATGTTACTCAGACCTCTGTCCAATCTTTGCTTCCAGATCAATTTATTTAATAATGAGAGATCACAACATTATCATCAGTTTTCAATGATATTATTTGTATGTATAAACCTTGATATAAATCTTTATTGAGCAAAGGAAGAAAGTGCATTTCTCAAATGTTTAAAAAAAATTTAAGTTAAAAAATCACAAGCAACTTTGAATTTATGCTTTATAGAATCTTTTAGTGAAGACTTGATGACTAGGCAGCATTCTACCTGATAGCTCATTGCTAGATTACTTAGACACAAGCCAACAAGCTTTTTTTTCATATCAATGCAATTTTTAAATGTAATTTACAAACTAGAATATTATCAATTTATATGTTTTGTTCATTTATTTTCTATTAAAAATGTGCATTTTTTCTGAAAATTAATTTTACTTTCCCAGCTGTTATACATAACAGAGAGAAGTATGATGNAATCTTTTAGTGAAGACTTGATGACTAGGCAGCATTCTACCTGATAGCTCATTGCTAGATTACTTAGACACAAGCCAACAAACTTTTTTTTTCATATCAATGCAATTTTTAAATGTAATTTACAAACTAGAATATTATCAATTTATATGTTTTGTTCATTTATTTTCTATTAAAAATATGCATTTTTTCTGAAAATTAATTTTACTTTCCCAGCTGTTATACGTAACAGAGAGAAGTATGACAATCAGTCAAAAAAATTATCCCCAAGATTTTATATTTTTGGAGTTGGAACATTGAAACTTCAAGAAATGCAAAAAATTTGGAGGTTTTTCTGTGTGGGGGTACAATTTTGTTCTCTTCTTTGAAGCTTAATAACTCCTGTGCTTTTTGTCATAATTTTCTGAAATTTTGCAGGGAGGCTTATTTATTAAAGGAATTTATGCTGTTAAATTTTGGTGATTAAAGGTCAATGGAGTGGGGAGATAAAGGGAATCATATCATATCTCAAGTAGGATCTGACAATGATGTAAATGCTAATAATGAGTAAAATCAATTTTTTTATAAAACCTATCCCTACCATCAAAATTAAATTTTTTGCCATTTTATAATTAAAAATATAAAAATTTCTTTTAAATAAAATATTGTAACAGATGGCACCACCAAATGTCGCCAGGAAAGTCAAGCAACTCATTGCTGGATTTTTTGGAATTGCTGTCCATTAAAAAAAATTTAAAGTTTTATTTTACATTTGGGAACATAAGAATATTACGAATAATTTGACATCTAAGCAATTTAATAATTTTTGCAATTATTTGTTATAACTAACTTCCAATATAGTCAAGTTCAAAACACACATACNATGAGAAATCATCCATGCTATTGTTCAATATAATTCCAGTAGAATTTGAACGTCTTTTTGAACCAAACCTACACACAATAAGAGAAATTTCTGAGACAAAGTATTTAATGAGTAATGCTACTTCAGTACAGAACAATTTTGTACTAGTTATAAATTATAAGATATTGTTAAGAATATCTTTTAATTGCATATATCTTAAACATATCTTTTATAATACAACAAACACAAAAAAATCTGAATAATTATAAACAAGACACAAATTAAACCAAACTCCAGTAAGAAACAACAAATTAATTGATAAATCTTACAAATTAAACCAAATTCCAGTAAGAAATGTGTACCTTGATTTATCTTAAATATTTAATAGTTGTCAAAGAATCAAGCTGGATTTATTATTTGCCTAAATTTTGTCTAATTAAATATACAAATCTTAATAATTTGGACTAAAGATTAGAATGAAAGATGTATTAAATTTAATAATAGCAATTAAGTTGACATTTAGTATATTCTGGAAGAAAAGAATGATCCATGATCCAGGATTCAAACCTGCACTGCTGCTTACCATGTAGATGCATTTCAAGTTATGTTACTCAGACCTCTGTCCAATCTTTGCTTCCAGATCAATTTATTTAATAATGAGAGATCACAACATTATCATCAGTTTTCAATGATATTATTTGTATGTATAAACCTTGATATAAATCTTTATTGAGCAAAGGAAGAAAGTGCATTTCTCAAATGTTTTAAAAAAAATTAAGTTAAAAAATCGCAAGCAACTTTGAATTTATGCTTTATAGAATCTTTTAGTGAAGACTTGATGACTAGGCAGCATTCTACCTGATAGCTCATTGCTAGATTACTTAGACACAAGCCAACAAGCTTTTTTTTCATATCAATGCAATTTTTAAATGTAATTTACAAACTAGAATATTATCAATTTATATGTTTTGTTCATTTATTTTCTATTAAAAATGTGCATTTTTTCTGAAAATTAATTTTACTTTCCCAGCTGTTATACATAACAGAGAGAAGTATGATGATCAGTCAAAAAAATTATCCCCAAGATTTTATATTTTTGGAGTTGGAACATTGAAACTTCAAGAAATGCAAAAAATTTGGAGATTTTTCTGTGTGAGGGTACAATTTTGTTCACTTCTTTGAAGCTTAATAACTCCTGTGCTTTTTGTCAATTTTCTGAAATTTTGCAGGGAGGCTTGTTTATTAAAGGGATTTATGCTGTTAAATTTTGGTGATTAAAGGTCAATGGAGTGGGGGAGATAAAGGGGATCATATCATATCTCAAGTAGGATCTGACAATGATGTAAATGCTAATAATGAGTAAAATCAATTTTTTTATAAAACCTATCCCTACCATCAAAATTAAATTTTTTGCCATTTTATAATTAAAAATATAAAAATTTCTTTTAAATAAAATATTGTAACAGATGGCACCACCAAATGTTGCCAGGAAAGTCAAGCAACTCATTGCTGGATGTTTTGGAATTGCTGTCCATTAAAAAGAAATTTAAAGTTTTTTTTTTTAGATTTGGGAACATAAGGATATTATGAATTATGAATAATTTGACATCTAAGCAATTTAATAATTTTTGCAATTATTTGTTATAACTAACTTCCAATATAGTCAAGTTCAAAACACACATACGCCAGTAAAATTCAAAAACTTATATATATTGAAAGTAAACATATGTACAGTTACAAAAATTTTGACAAATAACAATTACAAAACGTCAGATGTTAACAAAGTCCCACACATGTATCCACTACAACAGGTCCGTCGGAAAGACACCTTGCGACGAAAACCTCTAATGTTATTTGCCACACAGCGAGACAAAATAATCTTCTAGGTCAGCTTAGGCTAAGTTAGAACGACCGTGAATTCCCTTGATATGTCCGAGATGAACTAAAGTCAAACGCGAGTCCACTTTATGTGTCCAAGGCGAACTAAACTTCCTGCCACAACTCAATCCTTTTATACGGAGTGAAGTAAATCAGCTTCCACCAATCAGCACTTAGTAGCGCTACAAGACGTCTGCTGATGGTCTGATGTCTTTCAACCAATCCGCGGTCGAGTTTCCAAAAGTTGTCCGATTGCCGTTTCTATGGCGACAACCATCATTCGTCAAAAAATGCAAAGCGTGGGAAATTGTGTGACAGACGATTTTATCCCGACAAATATCAAATTGTTTACTGCTACACACAACAATTCAATTATTTTCCAATGTCACTTCTCTAGTTTCTTATTGTTTACATTATAAGTAGTCTAATTTATTAGCTATGAAAAGGGAATACAATGTTAGAAAGTAATAATAATAAGGTCATTAATTAATTTAAAGTTTATTATTCCAGTTTTAAAAATATTGTGCATTTTCTATTCCTTAAAATAAATTTTTTTTAATGTAAAAATTGAATTGATTTGAAAAAATTTACTCCCAGAAATCTGAACCAGCCAAGTTGCAGTTATTCTATGGAACCTTCACTGAAAGCAAACTCCTAAGTAACTTGGGACTTTTTAACTTTGCACTTCTCAAATATTTTCAAGAAAATAACTTTCTCCATTTGCTCAATGAAGGGTATAGTTTATTGTTTAAACATATTTTACTCAGTAGTATTGAAAATAATAATCTTGTTTCTTGAATATTAACATAAATTAATAAAAATCAAATAATAGTCTTTAAGCAAACTTACAGTGAAATATACTGTATATGTGCTCATTGAGAATCCCCTTAGCTGAACAGAGATATTTTAAAATTTATATTATAACACTTCAGAATCGACCATTTTTGTTTCTTACAATGACAGTCATAAACTGTGATATGCTTAAGTTATATTATAACCTAGATTTAAAGTAACATTTAAAATTTTCAAAAAACTCAAAAAAACCAATTTAAAAGCATCCACTTTATTTGCTACTTAAACTGCTTTGAAAAGTAGATATATGCTTATCTAACAAAACTCCAGGTGTCTAGCTGTAGAGGATGGTGACCTTGGCAGCAGATTACAATAATGAGTAAGTGCCATGTTACCATGTCATAAGAGTCCTTTTAAACTTTTGAGTGGCTATTTTCTAAGAATCAATTTTACAAAATTTCTCCCTTATGTATAACATAGGGAGGTATTGTTTTTGTGGAATATTATTGGCTACAGGAATCTGACAAAACACTTATTAAATGTTAAATGAGTTAAATGGTGTCAGTCAATGAAGACAAAATCCAATCAGAGCTTAAATCACTTCCAACTTATCTAGTAAGCAGCAAATTAATTTTTTTTTTTTTTTTGAGAGCTCTGCATATATGTGTGTGTGCATGCACACACACATTAAGGCAGATTCAACAGAAAACTGGAAAATGCCATTAAAATTTAGGAGGTCAAACAATATCAAAGTAGTTTTGAGACATGAAACTCCATGAGTCACACCCAGGTGTATAAGTAGAATAGCCATAGTTCTGTGGAAGATTTTCTACAGCTGGGACTACAGTGGATGCCATGAGAAATTTTCTAAAGAACCACAGCCATCAAAAATCAGACAACACTCTGTTGCTCTTCTAACATGCACTGTTGGAGAAGTGCATCCATTTTCTTGATCTGTTGTCTTACTTTATTGCTTGTCAACAATGTTGATAGTTGCAGATATTATTAACTCTGACATGAAACTTTCATGTCTCAACATCATTATGATATTCCTAGAGTTTTCTATTAACATGTCTTGTAGAGTAACATCTGATTGTAATAAGCCATTTTCTCTTGCCNACAAAGTCCCACACATGTATCCACTACAACAGGTCCGTCAGAAAGACACCTTGCGACGAAAACCTCTAATGTTATTTACCACACAGCGAGACAAATTAATCTTCTAGGTCAGCTTAGGCTAAGTTAGAACGACCATGAGTTCCCTTGATATGTCCGAGATGAACTAAAGTCAAATGTGAGTCCACTTCATGTGTCCAAGGCGAACTAAACTTCCCGCCACAACTCAATCCTTTTATACGGATTGAAGTAAATCGGCTTCCACCAATCAGCGCTTAGTAGCGCTACAAGACGTCCGCTGATGGTCCGATGTCTTTCAACCAATCCGCGGTCGAGTTTCCAAAAATTGTCCGATTGCCGTTTCTATGGCGACAACCATCATTCGTCGAAAAATGGAAAAGCGTGGGAAATCATGTGACAGACGATTTTATCCCGACAAATATCAAATTGTTTACTGCTACACACAACAATTCAATTATTTTCCAATGTCACTTCTCTGGTTTCTTATTGTTTACATTATAAGTAGTCTAATTTATTAGCTATGAAAAGGGAATACAATGTTAGAAAGTAATAATAATAAGGTCATTAATTAATTTAAAGTTTATTATTCCAGTTTTAAAAATATTATGCATTTTCTATTCCTTAAAATAAATTTTTTTTTAATGTAAAAATTGAATTGATTTGAAAAAATTTACTCCCAGAAATCTGAACCAGCCAAGTTGCAGTTATTCTATGGAACCTTCACTGAAAGCAAACTCCTAAGTAACTTGGGACTTTTTAACTTTGCACTTCTCAAATATTTTCAAGAAAATAACTTTCTCCATTTGCTCAATGAAGGGTATAGTTTATTGTTTAAACATATTTTACTCAGTAGTATTGAAAATAATAATCTTGTTTCTTGAATATTAACATAAATTAATAAAAATCAAATAATAGTCTTTAAGCAAACTTACAGTGAAATATACTGTATATGTGCTCATTGAGAATCCCTTAGCTGAGCAGAGATATTTTAAAATTTATATTATATCACTTCAGAATCGACCATTTTTGTTTCTTACAATGACAGTCATAAACTGTGATATGCTTAAGTTATATTATAACCTAGATTTAAAGTAACATTTAAAATTTCAAATTTTCAAAAAACTCAAAAAAAAAACCAATTTAAAAGCATTCACTTTATTTGCTACTTAAACTGCTTTGATAAGTAGATATATGCTTATCTAACAAAACTCCAAGTGTCTAGCTGTAGAGGATGGTGACCTTGGCAGCAGATTACAGTAATAAGTGCCATGTTGCCATGTCATAAGAGTCAAACACCTTTTAAACTTTGAGTAGCTATTTTCTAAGAAACAATTTTACAAAATTTCTCCCTTATGTATAACATAGGGAGGTATTGTTTTTGTGGAATATTATTGGCTACAGGAATCTGACAAAACACTTATTAAATGTTAAATGAGTTAAATGGTGTCAGTCAATGAAGACAAAATCCAATCAGAGCTTAAATCACTTCCAACTTATCTAGTAAGCAGCAAATTAATTTTTTTTTTTTTTTTGAGAGCTCTGCATATATGTGTGTGTGCATGCACACACACATTAAGGCAGATTCAACAGAAAACTGGAAAATGCCATTAAAATTTAGGAGGTCAAACAATATCAAAGTAGTTTTGAGACATGAAACTCCATGAGTCACACCCAGGTGTATAAGTAGAATAGCCATAGTTCTGTGGAAGATTTTCTACAGCTGGGACTACAGTGGATGCCATGAGAAATTTTCTAAAGAACCACAGCCATCAAAAATCAGACAACACTCTGTTGCTCTTCTATCATGCACTGTTGGAGAAGTGCATCCATTTTCTTGATCTGTTGTCTTACTTTATTGCTTGTCAGCAATGTTGATAGTTGCAGATATTATTAACTCTGACATGAAACTTCCATGTCTCAACATAATTATGATATTCCTAGAGTTTTCTATTAACATGTCTTGTAGAGTAACATCTGATTGTAATAAGCCATTTTCTCTTGCCTGCTATTTCAACAGATAATAATTAAAAGTCATTTATTAACAATTCTTTTTCTATTTTTATTTTTGTTAGTCCTTCCTTAAGCAATATTTGCTTAAGGAAGGACTTAGCTTTTTGAATATGAAACCACTGATTGTATATTTATTTGCAAAATGCACAAATATGTAGCTTTTGAAAAAGAAAAAGTTTTTCACTTTTATAAACATACTTTGTATTTGATTTTAAAATAAATGAAAACAAAACTTTAAGATTAGATTTATTTGGAATTTAAAATATGTTTGTTTTATTTTGTAAGGTACATACAAGAAAATTTAGAATTCAAATTTTCCAAAACTTACTGTGTATTTATGCTACTTGTTACAGATACAGCATCACCATTTGCAAAGACTGAAAGATGTGCAGTTCCATGGTCTTCCACTTGATATATCACTGGTCCATAATGTTCAGGTGGAAATGTTTTAGTGTCTGATATATTTGCTCTTATGCTATCACCATATTCAGGAGAAATAATCTTAGATATTAACTAAAAAAATATAATTTTATTAATAAACTGTCATATTTTAACAAAATTTTAATTTTAAAAATTATAAAATTGAAGTTAAACAGATTTATTCATGTAAATATAAATAACTAAAACTCAAACCTCATTCTACAATATTTTATTGATTTTTCCATTATTTAATTTTTATGTTCTATTTAAATTTTAAAAATAGTAACTTATATTTAAACATTTAAGTGAAATGAAATTTTACTAAAACATTTATAATTATTTATGAAGTTACTGAATCATCAGATTTTTTTATCAGCAAATAAAAAAAAAGTAAAAGCTTAGAAGAAACTTTAACTCAAAGATTAATTGAAATTATTTTTTATCAATATATAAATAATAATAATAATAATACTTATTAATCTATAAAATAAAACTGAATACTGGCTTATTAAAAACTTTTGTTTATGTTACTGTGAAAGACCAAAATTAGAGAATGCTGATATTCTCCAGTGAATGTCGACACACACAAAATACGTCAGTGAAAGACCAAACATTTGGTTATATTATTATACATTCGAACAATCGCCAATGTATGTGGACAAGCACAAATAAGCTTTGGTGGAGGTTGAAACGACACCCGAGAAGCCAATGTCGACAGAAAGGCGACAGTCCGTTGCCAAATCCTTTGTGGGTAGCCAGAGGTAGGACAAGGTCGTACTCTTTTCCCAGCAACGGTTTAGTGGAAACTGCCCATTTTGTCACTAGATGGCGTTTTTAGTTCTTTTGGTCTCGTGAGGTGGGATCGGTCTGTCAGGTCTAGTGACAGAGGATGAGAGGGGTCGTCAGTAAGGCGTCGGCGATATCCGAATAAAAGACACCATTAATAGATCAGTTCGTAATCACATAATAATGTAATCAGTTTGTAATTTGTAAAGAAAAGTTACTTTTCATAGATGAGATTTCTTCTCAAGAAATATCGCTGAGAGAAGCAGCTGCAGCTAATTCGAAAAGTGGAGGGCAAGGCTATACACGCTGTCATTGCAAAAAGAAGTGTTCCACGAATAAATGCAGTTGTAAAAGCAAGGGACTCTTGTGCAATTCAAAGTGCCATAACAGTTTAAGTTGTTGCAATAAATAAGATTGTATAACGTTAATCACATAATTTATGTGTAAGTTTATTATTGTATTATTTTCTTTAATGATTTAGAATGTACTGTTCGTTTTAGGTTCAACAGTTTATTTACATGCGCTGTTACTTAAGCTTTCTCCTATTTTGACATATTAAAAAGTTGCATTTTTGTCTTAACGTAATAAAAATATTTTTATTCAACAATTCACCATTAGTGCATGCTGAATGTCGACATTTGCCGGTGTAAGTGAGAAATAATGATATTTAGCAAATATTTCGTACATAAATATTACGAAACGACTGTGTGAGTGCTGACATTCACTGGAGAATCTTGGCATTTGCCAGATATCAGTCATTCACAGTAACATTTACACTAAGTGTAAAATCATCATCATCATCATCATGGGGGAGAAGTCTGAAAACAGTTCCAAAACTGTAAATGGAATTGAGCAACATTGTTGCTAAAGTGCTTTAAACAATATGTTGAGTTTTTTCTATTCAGATGGCTGTGTAAATTAGGTCAAGATAGGTGTCCTAGTGATATTTATCCCATCTTAAGTGAGATTGTGAGTGGCCATCAAGATGAAGTTTAATTTATATAAAAACTTATGCAGTTTTACAGGGGAATTTCAGGGGTGGCCAGAAAGAAAAATTTTCCTCTATTTCAAAATTAAATTCCCATTTTTTGTCCCAAAAACTTGATATAATAATAGTAAATTGAACTAATATTTAAAAACACATTTATTAGAATACAATAAAAGAAAATGACAGAAATTAATATTTAACAGCAACACTAAAATACTCTTAAATAGTTATTATATTAACTGTTAATTATTGTCATTAACAATATTGTTTCTCTTCCAAATATTAAGAATAATAAGATACTGGAATATAATATAAATGTGGTTTTAAACTGGGTTTGTTTGCAATGCAAAAGCAAACAAACCCAGTAATTCAGGTATGCTATACAGCAGCATGAGAGGAAGACACTTTGCTGAAGAATTTCCTATTTAATATTTTATGGAGAAAGATCTGCCCACAAATATTAATTGTTATTTTATGAGTGACACTATTACAATTTTAATAATGAATGAGGGTGAGGTTTGCTATATAAGAATAAAACAATTTTTGATCATAATTAACATAGTTAAGATTTTTTTTCAGATTTCTGTAATATATAGAAAAGAGTTGCAAAATAAAAACAAACTAAATGTTTTGGATTTCTAATGCATAATAATAATAATAATAATAATAATAATAATTTCTTACTTTATTAGTTTCTTCATCATCTCCAAATTTTGTTCGTTCAGCATAAGCATATTTAAAAGCTTCTGCCATGCGATGGTAAGTTAATACTGATGAAGAAATATCTTTCATGCTATCAGCAGTAAGATTATATCCTCTTAATATATTTAATATAAAACCCAAAATTGCTCCACTTCCTGGTGTAGGAACTGTGTAAAGAATATCTTGATTTAATGGAATTGCAATGGCATCTTTTAAAAGTGGCTTATAATCCTTCATATCTTGTAATGTGATTTTACCACCTACAATTCAAAGCAAAAATATAATCATTTCTTAGATGTAAAATGTTTTCTATATAAATTTTATAAAAGCCTACCAAAGTTTCTAATATCGTTGACTAAAGATGCTGCTAATTTCCCAGTATATAATTCATCACCAGAAGTATTGGCTATTTTACTTAATGTTTCAGCTAAAATGGGTCGTTTAATCATTTCACCCTCTTTAAACAGATCATCAGTTTCCTTGTTATAAAATAATTCCCTGAAATAATTAATGGATTATTCAAAATGTTTTAATACCAAACAGTTTAATTTACACATTTTTTTTAATTAGAAATTATTATTTAAGAAATAGAAAAATTAGATTTTATTTTAAATTTTATTACATAACTTTTTATAATGTTAACAATTGAGGAACTTTATGGAAAAACAGCATTTACCACATTAAGAAGTTTTCAAGAAAAACGGAGGATTTGTGTTTCAATTCACAAGCATTTTAATATGCAACATGTTATTACTGTAATGTAGGTGTACAGTACAACCTGTGGGGCATGCAACTAAACTGCAGAAATTTCTTAGAAAGAGATTGATGATGCACAAATCCAAATTTGTTAATAACTTGTATCCCTCAAAACTACAAAAAACATCATTTTTCCATTAAGTCTCTCAGTTATTAGCATTATTAGACTTTTTTCACTAAGAATTGTGTTTGTGCAAAATTACTGTTTAATTCTGGTAAATTCAAGTAATTCTGATAAACATGTTATAATAATCAGATAAGTGATTGATTCACATCCTTTTTGTATAATAAAATTTTTATTACAAGTATAGTATGAAGAATGTCAGAAAAATAAGACTAAGAAATTAATATTGACAAAAAAATCAACATTGCCAACTAAGAATAAGAAAGTAAAGATGGGGCAAGGAATGAGACTAAAAAAATAAAATATATCTAAAGTAAATTTAATTGATTATAGTAGTCATTTTATGTCTGATCAAAATAAACAAATAAGTACTTTTAAAACATGAAAGTAAGGCTCTACCATATGTGACCAATACATTCCATGACCCTCACATAGATAATTGCATAAAATAGCCAGTCCCATTAATGATTAAATATTTCTTAAACTAACATTTATGTATACATAAGGAAAAAACATGTGATAGGTATAAGGCAAATAATCACTACATTAACAATAAATAGCATGATACTGCAAATCATAAAAACAATACTTAAAAATTTTGGAAACAGACTTTTTTGCTTTTCCCACTAAATCTAAAATTTTAAGATTTTCTCTAAAGCACCTCTAGGCTCTTTATAGTTTTTCTTTGGCTTATCAGAATTACTAGCATAATTACCCTTGTGTTTTGGAACCATGTTTGCAAAGTATTTGGCATATATGAAACCACGAGAAATATTGATATCTCACAAACACAACATTTTACAAGTGAGAACTCCAGACAAAGATTGATGAGTGAGGTGTATTTGATTATTAAGTATTTAACTAGAAAGATGCTAGGCAATCATACTTGGCATAATTTTCATAACAAATGAAATGGTAAAAATGCACCCTTTTTATTTAAATTTATCAAATAGAATCTGTAGAATGAACCATAGAGTTTTACTAAAGACTCCATCCTGATTATAAAAACCCTACATAAATCAAAAAAATATTAAATTTTCATAAAAATATTTTTTTATACATTAAGTCAGACCAATTTTAGAAAACACAAATAAAAAATGTTATTAGTTATGCAATATTCAAATGAATATTCCTGTTGTCAACTAAAAGGAAGGATAACTTCATAATATATAGAAAGAAATAAATGGATAAAAGATGAAAACTTAATTTGTTCATAACTACAATGATCATTAATAATTGTAACAATTATATAAGATTAACTAAATTACTCAAGTATTCAATTAGTTTTTTAAATTGTAACGTAACTCATAACTATAAGCTAATATGGTAGGACTGCAAATTCAAGTCCCATATAAGGCCATTTCTTTTCAGATTTTTATTTTCTTTAATTATTTAAAATTAATTCATAATATCAATTCTTCTGTTGCCACAAAAAAATTCAAATTCTACATTATGCTAGATTTTCTTAGTCAAACTTGTCTATAACAAAACCTGTATATATTGAAAACCTGTCATTAACAGAAAATTTATTCGGTCCCTTGAATTTTTTGCAAAAATTAATGTAAATTAACCTGTATATAGCAGAACCTGTCTAATGCGGAAACGAAAACATCAGTATCTTTATCCAATTTAATATAAATTTAACAAGAAGTTCATAAACCTAGCATGTATAAATCATTAAAAAGTCAAAAAATACACATACGCAATACAGAACAATAAAATATGATTAATTAATATGGTAAAGTAATTTTATTGGAATTTGAACAGAAAGTTTTTGTATATTTTTATTAACAGTTGTTTTTACTTTCAGGAAATTTTGAACTAAAGGATACAAAACGTATGAGACCCCAAAAGCTGTTGAAGGAAATTATAGAAAGAAATTTGTTAAAGATTGGCAAATAACAACTTGTGAATTTGCAACAAATCTTAGTATGTCACAGACATGTGTTGTTGAAATACTTCATCCACTTGAACTGTTTGTAAAACATGCTGATGATTGTGTTCTGTATGCAGTTTTTTCCCCACTCATGAAAAAATGAACCGAATTGAGTATAATTTTGTCTGACAAAGGTAGGCAGCTCTAAGGTTTTATTTTATTTTTAAATTGGTTACTCATTTTTATCTTAGAGAACTTTTTTACGGATAAATGAAAAAATTAAAAGTTAAAATAAAAATATTTGTTATTAACTGAAAATTTGTTCTAGTAGGTGGTGATTGTTCAGTGGAGTACCAAGGTACCACTGTATTTGGTTAACATGATTTTGATATACACGGTAGCATCAAGAAATTTATTAATTGTATTAATCAAGGAATATCAAAGGAATGTACCTATAGTAGGTAACCTGTATACTGCGGAAACCTTCTACTACGGAAGAGTTGTTCTGTCCCTTGGGGTTCCATTATAGACAGATTTGACTGTATTTACTTTAGTTGATATTGCAACTAAAGGAAATATTCTAATCTTGCTTTCTTTAATCATTGTGATGAAAATGTATTGCTGAATCAAACTTGTGAATATAAAAAGGTAGTTATAAATTGGAAAAAGGTGAATACAGAATGTAAAAGTATGAAAGTTTTATTGTATTATGATAATTCTTTAAATTACATTTTAGAATTATAATATATATAAAATATTTCTGATCTGATATAATAAATTTAGTCATTTTTTAAAATATTTTGAAAAATTTTCAGAAAAAAAAAAAATCTATGTATCTAAAGAAAATTAAAAAATGTTAACTATTACCTCATACTAGGTTCTTTAAGAATTTCGTCTTTATTTAGTTGAATTTTATCAGCTAGATGGCGGCCAACAACAAATCCCTTTTTACATAAATCAATAGTAGGATTAATAAGAAAATTCCAATCTAATTTTCCAAACTTTTGATGAGCAAACCAGTAACCTCTTAATTCTCCAGGAACAGCTATTGCCAATCCACCTAAATCAAATAAAATTACATATATTTTTTAATTGCTACATATATACAGTAGAGCATCGATTATCTGAATGCCGATCAACTGAAAGCATTCCAGTCGGACTGTGTTGTGCTGAATCAAATGTTTTTGATACTAATTAACTTCTAAGTATCATTTTTTTTGTTTTTATATTTTTCAATATATTTATTTTGTTTGTACAAAATAAAGAAATAATTTTTAACGATACAATAGCTACGATTATTATTATAAAAATTTTCGTTAGGCTTAACATCAACAAAAATTCAACGCAAAGCGACACGCAACAGAGAAAAATTTAAACATGGGATATATTAATAATGTATTTTTTCGTACATAATCGGTTATCTGAAAAATTGATTTTCTGAACAACCCCAGTCCCCAATTGATTCAGATAATTGATGCTCTACTGTGATCATATTCTCACCTTAAGTAAAATTTAAATTTGTATTCACCATATATTGATCAAATGTTGCAGACTTCAGTTAAATCGTGATTCACATATAAATTTATCACTATTAATGATTTAATTATCATATAATATTATAGATTAGCACATACTCCAATTGGATTTGCCATTGCATGATAAATAACTTGAAACTTTTATGAGAGTGAAATTAGTCATTGGCACTGAAATAAATTTATATTCATTTCTTCTTTTCTGTCTTTTCATTGTTTTAGCTTTTAAACTTTTTCAATAAAGCAGTAACTGTTACTGCTTCAAAACTAATGCTATGCAAAGAATTTGTACAGATATGAAATGCATTGGACAAATCAGAAAATTTTTTAATACAGCTTCCATCTTACACCACTCATATTACTAGATTATGATCAATGATAACAGATGGATTTGTCATGAACTATTGCTGTAAATTTCATAATCTGGTATTAGAATGAATTTGTGAATAGAAAAAGCAACAGTGCTGAATCTGACTTTAACCTTTAAATTTTGAATTATGTAATTGTTGGTGAATATAGCTATTACAAAATTTCCACTACATAGTTCAAATTTTGCCACATGGTTATACTTTTAATCATTCTGACAAAATAAACCAGCAACTAGTGAAACGAACTGGTGAAAGCTACATGCCACAATTGAACACTTGCACTCATTGTAATGCCATTTGGCAGTGCTTGTATGGGAAACTGGGATGATAAATATTGCCACACATTACTTTCTGTAAAGTCTAGTCTCTGTTACCAAACTCATGAGAATGGTTCAGGTCCATGGCTCTTGTAAATGGTTGTCCTTGCTAGACTGTGATAATTAGGTCCATGAAGCAAAATTTCCAGCAAAGAAACACCCAAATTCAATATTCAAACGTTTTTGGCCACTACTTTATCATCTACTTTATCACTACTTCAGGAAATGTAAAATGAAAAAACCGTTCTATGTATAGAACGTAGCCATCAGTGGCATGCTGTGACATTTGATGATAGTGAAGCTGTTTTTCTGTAAGAAGCTGACTTCCACAGGCAATCAGTTAAATGCGCATCAGTGATAGTCTAGGGTCCATTCATATTCATTTTGTTCAATAAGCCAGTAAAAACCGTAGACTTCTCTAAATGTATTTTTAATATCACAATTATATTCTGAATCGCTAGCCATGATATAAGGGCTACAATTAAAAATAAAATTATAAAAATTTACTTGGTGAAATAAAATGTGTGGTGGATGTACCGGTACATACATGGTACAAAATATACTTCAATTGTATGAATATACAGTACTTTTAAAGAAAATTATAATTAAATATAGCTTTGTAAAGAAATGTACATAAAAATAAAATAATACATAAAATCTTCTTTACTTTTTAAACTACACCATGAAACCCCAGGATGTGTTAAATACTGCACTCTTAGAAACTATAATCGGTGTGATATAAAAAAACAAAAGATAAAGATCACCACAAACATTTTCGAACTGCTGTGAGTTCTTCTTCAGGTGTGAAACAGAATAACTGATGGGACAGAGTGAACCGTTAAGGAAATTCAAGAAACATTAGAAGGTGTTATGTGAGATGCATGCATATTTGTCTGGTTGACATATCATGACTTTAAAGTTTGGAGTCCATCAAGGCCAGCAACAGAACCAACTCATTCTTAAAATTGATGCAGTTGTCATTGAGGGTCGATTTATAAATGTGGATGGCCTCTAGCCACTTAAGATGTTCAGTGTGTGATGTAGTGTGTACAAGCTTTGCCTGGTGGAAGGCCGCCACAATGTCCGGGTCGGTGGTGTATGTGGCAAAGGTGGAAATATTTCCCTTATGATGTATGTCCTCTATATGTTCCTGAACTCTGACCTCCAATGTGGATCCGAGTGTAAACGAGATCCCTATTAAACCTGTTGTCCCTAATGGGAATTCTCCTTGGAGGTCAGAGTTCAGGAACATATAGTGGACATACATCATAAGAGAAATACTTCCACCCTTGCCATATATGCCGCCAACCCGGACATTGTGATGGCCTTCCACCAGGCGAAGCTTGTATGCACCACATCACAAACCAAACACCTTAAGTGGCTAGAGGCCATCCAAATTTATAAATCGACCCTCAATGACAACTGCATCAATTTTAAGGATGAGTTGGTTCTGTCGCTGGCCTGGCAGGCATTGATGGACTCCGAACTTTAAGGTCACAATATGTCAACCAGACAAATATGCATGCATCTCACATAACACCTTCTAATGTTTCTCAAATTTCCTTAACGACTCACTCTGTCCCGTCAGTTTTTATGATAGTTCTGTTTCACACTTGAAGAAGAACTCACAGCAGTTCAAAAACGTTTGTGGTGATCTTTATCTTTTGTCTTTTTATATCACACTGGTTATAGGTTCCAGTGACGTGCTGTCATTGGAAATGGTGGAAGTGCCGCTTCCCTTGTATTTTCTAAAAAATAAATACATATTGCGCGATTATTTTCATATTTTAATGTACTTTGAAAAATTTTCATATTTTAACATACTTTAAAATTATTATTTTATTATAACTGCATTATGTATCTTATTACAAATTTCTATATTACATGTGAAAAAAACAATAAGGTTGCTATTGTATATTTGAATATCAGTGACAGAATGGAAGTGCTGTATTGTCGAAACTGGGTCAGCTTCCAAACAGCCAGATTATAAGCATTCATGCATGCACTTTACAGAGCACTAACCTCACACGGTTTAGCTGGTGGAAGCTACATAAATATAACACTTCCAATGATTCTATCCAGGACCAGTTCTGGGCTGTTAGCCGCTTGTCTGCTAGATATTTGGCCGCCCTTGCCCAATTATGTGAATTGTGAGTAGATTTATAACTTAACTCAATTGATAGGAATCTACTGGTATGTTTTTATGATAGTTCTGTATAGTTGATAGGAGTTAAAAAAAATCCATTAAAATATAAGATGGGAGAGTAGAATAAAAATATCAAATATTACGATTTTGTATGTCCCATCTATAAGGGGATGCAGAAAAACACTTGTACAATTCTTGTACAATGTTAAAAAATTAACTGTTACTCTAACAGCATCATTTACAACTAAATTTAGTGAATGAGAGAAGTGCATGAGGTACAGAAAAAGCTCTAGAATTTATTTTCCTTAAGTTTACGATTTATGTATCATGAATGTCATGAAAATTTGTCTTTCCACTTTTTTCCCAAGACTACAAATATTCAAGTACAAAGTAACTGGTTTCAACTTATTTCTACTTAAGTAATAGTTAAATAATTAAGAGATTAGGAATTAGGGACATAAAACCTTGCTGAAAGAGCCGGAATTTTACTTAAAAGCTTAACTGAACTAATCTCTAGCCGAGTACAGTGGAAACTGATTTCTTTGCAATATTAGATGTAATAAAGACAAATTTTTCCAGTTCAATGAGAGTGACTAAAAAGTAAATTTTGGAAATTTCCGTGAAAACCTGGTCCGAATTAGTTAGAAAACAAACGACAGACAATCTATTAAGTTTAACATATTTAGATTTTTACAACTATGGGAAGAAACATTTAAAATTTACAACAACCCTGTCGCGTCCTTTGAAGTATACAACAAAAGAGGCATTTGACATTAACCAGTATCAGCACCCTCAAGATTTCGTAGTCTGCGTGCCGTGTAACCTACTCTGATTCCATCCATTAGCCACTTGTAGGGAGCTATTTGACTCAGTGGATTGTTTTAAGATTTAAAAAGAAAATAATATTTTATGTTATTTTTATGTAAGTTTGTTTACAAAGCTATATTTAATTATAATTTCCTTTAAAAGAATATTCATACAATTGAAGAACATTTTGTACCAGGTACGTACTGTACATCACCACACATTTTATTTCACCAAGTAAGTTTTTATAATTTTATTTTTAATTGTAGCCCTTATATCGTGGCTAGTGATTCAGAATGTAATTGTGATATTAAAAATACATTTAGAGAAGTCTACGGTTTTTACTGGTTTATCAAACAAAACGAATATGAATGGACCCTAGACCGACACTAATGCACAATTAACTGATTGCTCCTGGAAGTTGGCTTCTTACAGAAACACAGCTTCCCTACCATCAAATGTCACGGCATGCCACTGATACGTTGTAAGAGTGCGGTATTACTTCTTAAATCTTAAAATAATGCACTTAGTCAAATAGCTCCCTACGAATAGCTAATGAATGGAATCGGAGATGGTTTTGGTAAGTGTGCAGTGTGTGCATGCACACGGGTTGCCAAATTCTCACAATACACAGAGTCTTCAACCAGCAAAACATTAGAGCATTGGAAGCTGTAGAGATCTACAGGACAGACAGAAGTGGAGCCTGCATCAACACTGATGCCATTCATGTACCAAATGCATGGAAAGACTATTTAGACTCCTAAAATATACATCGTATATGCTATGTCACAACCTTTATTCTAACTTTTTTGAAACTTTTAAAATTAGAATGTGGCTACATTCTATATATAGAATGGTTTTTTGTTTTACATTTCCTGAAGAGGACCAATAAA